GAATAATATATGCAGTGTATTATTTGTTGAAACTGTACTTCCGATTTGATTTGAAACTGTCTCATTGCTATATGTTTATCAATAAAACTGTAGAAAAAAAAATTGATTGATAAAAAGAAGCAAAATATAAAAAATAACACTATAAGAGAATTTGAGTATTTGACAGAATATTAAATGATATTGTTTTTAATAATATTAAAATCTGTTTTTGGAGAATATTTTTAGAAAAACATGCTGAGATAACTATGGATAAAATAGGATGAAAAGACAGAACCTTAAAGACTTATTTCAAAATAATATAAACACAAGAATAGCAACTGGTAAGGGGGACATGAAGTAATAATCACGAGGTGCCGTGGCCCAACCGTAAAACCTGGATGATGCCTTCATCAGAACTATGAGAGCCCTTCCTGGTCCTCACCTCAGGCCCAGAAGTTTGTATTTGTAATCCTGAGGAAAAGTTACTGGGATGCCATCAAGTTAATTCCAATCTACCACTTCCCATGCAACCTCCGGCAAGAATAAAGACTCTAACACATATCTGTAGTTCCGGGGAGGCAAGGGGTCCTAAGTCCAGCCATGATGATGGCTATCTGGAACAAAGGCCTCGACCCAGGGCCAAACCCATTTTATTCATTTGTGAAGAAAAAGTGGCTTAAGGATGAGTGACTGTGAGAACGGAGGAGGCGAGTGAGTGCCATGAGCTGGGCTAGGTAGGAGGCCTTACGCAGAGTGGGATAATTGAGCTAGGACCTAATGTTTGGGGTCAGAGCTTCAGCTCTGCAGTGTATCCTTTCAAGCCCCAGGAAGTCATAGCCTCTATCGCAAAGCCCGATCCCAGCCCACGGTGTGGGGCACTGGCTCTGTCCTGTCTCGACCCAGCTCATGCTAGAGAGCAGAAGGTGGGGGTTCCAGGGAATGAGTCAGCTGTCTTCAGAGACTGCCACCAGCACCTCAGCTAGACTCATATGCACTGCCCAAGGCCAGCTGAAGAGATGAGAAGCCCTCCCCAGCTCTATGCAAGGCAACAGCGTCAGGCTCAGCCAGACTGCGCCTCTTCCAAGGAGAATCACACAGACGGTCCTCCACAAGAACTTATTCTATATTCTTTCTACTTGCGTATATAAAGTTCTCCATTATGGAAGTTGTATAATAAAAGGTGTATCACCATAGGACTATAAATTCCGACATGAGCAGTAAAACACTGTTGTATTCCAAAACTACAAACACATAAGATATATTCTACAAATATATCTCCACACTTCTAGCAGTACTTGTCTTTCATAAGTCTTTGGCAAATATTTTTAAAGGAATAAATGAGAAAAAAGAAAGTAATTTCAAGGTAATATATGTGTATGTGTATAATTGCTCTGATTATTAATGATGCTCCATATTTTTTCACATGTTTGTTTACCATTTGGGTTTTCTTTAGGAAGAAAAGCTTCTCACTAACCAAAAAGCAATGATTATTTAAGGTATCTTTTCATGTGTCTGGATATACATATTCTACTGTCAGAACTGTGAGCTGCAATCAGTAATCTCACTTTGTGGTTTTTCACTCTCAATACCGTCTAATGGTAGATTAAAATATTTTCATTTGATATAGTCAAATAATGAAGTAGTCTATTTTAATTATTGCATTCCCTATCTTGTTTTAGGAAACAATCCCTGCTCCAGATCCATGAAACACTCCCTTTTTATTTATCATTAGAGCTGTATCAATTTGTTTCTGGATCTATTCAGTATTTCTTTCTACCTTATTTTTATGTCCACACTAAAATTACTATAAGGTACAACAAGTCATGCTACCTGCTCTTTATTATCTAGGGTTAGAATAACTATTTCTGATCTTCTACATATCCATATGAATTTTAGAACCACACTACACAAAGTACTGTGATTTTGAATGGATCTGCACAAAAATCATTTGAGGAAATTTGACATGTTAGGAATACTGACTTACTCAACAATGAACATTTCCATCTTTATGATTACTTAGATCTTTCTGAAAAAATTTTTCTCTAAGTTTTCTCCACAAAGTTTTTTATGCTTTTTATTATATTTATATTCCTAAGAACTTGATACTTGAGATGCTGTGATACATATTATCTTTACAGGTTTTTTATTTTCTAATTGGTTGGCACTGAAGTATAGAAATAGAATTGATTTTGTATATTGATTTCTGTATCCAGAAACTTTGCTAAGCACTTATTAATATTTATAACTCATCAGTAAGCTGTTTTGTATTTCTTATGTATACAATGTCATTTGTGATCACTGGTTTATTTTCCTTTTCAATCTTTAGCTATTTTCCTTTTCTTATTTTACTATACTGCTCTGAATCTCCATTACACTAACTCAAGTACTAGTAATAAAAGCAATACTATCCCATTTCTGATTCCAGAAAGGAAATTTTTAATTTTCCTAGTACATTTGCTAAAAGTTTTTTGTAGGTATCCTTCTTATTAAAGACATGCTCTTCTAAACCTATTTTGTAGTAAATTTTTATCATAAGTTAATGCTGATTTTTGTCAGGTTTTTCAGCTATCTATTGGCTAGATAACTTTTATGTTTATTCTGATGGCATGACAAATTATATTATTTTAATATAAAATAAAACCAGCATTTCCAAGATAAACCCCATTTGGTCATATTATATTTTCCTTTTTATTTATTGCTTGATTCATACTTAGTATTTTCTCAGAATACTTTTTAGATACCAAGAATCAAACTCATGACCTTGCACTTGGCAGACAGGTGCTGTGCCACTGAGCTATAACCCCAACCCAAATATATTAAGTTTTTAGCTATATTCAAAAGTAAGTTTGTTTTGTAATTTTGCATCCTTGTGCTATTCTTGCTAGATATTGGTATCAACTCATAAAATGAGTTCGGGATTATATTTTCTTTGGAATAGTTCATGTAAAGCTTGAGTTTCTTTATATATTTGGTAGAATTTGCCAGTAAAATAAAATAATCTATAATTTCTTTGGAGAGCTTTTAATTGTTAACTTTCTCTAATGGTACAGGATTTTTTCATTTCTGATTTCCTGGATATCTCTTTGAATCTGTTTCATTCATTCTATTTATTTCCAATATTGTTTATTCAATGTTTCCATCGTTCTTCTATGCTCCTCTATTTTTTTATCAATGTCTTCTTTAAATATGCTCAGCAATGTTTTTCATTATGGTTACTTCTTTACCTGAGAGATTATTTCTGATCTGATTTCCTCTATACCAACCTAGAGTTGTTTCTTTACTTCAGTTGCAATGATTTCAGAGATTTCAGGTGTGTGACTCCTAATTTCTTCTATGCTGATGTCCCCTGGACTTGTTCTGGGTGGATTGGGGCCTGAGATTGCATTTTGCTCCTTTGTCTTGTCATTTTCTATCTTAGAAAGAACTCTATTTTGATTTCTGGGATAATCCTTGTAAAATTCTGATAGTAGGTAGCTACTTTACTACTATCAAGGCTACTTTAGGAAAAGCCTATACTTCAGGACTATCTTCTGTGTGTCGGAGATTCTTGGTTTGTGTCTGTCCTGAGATCCTGCCTTCTCAATTAATTGAGAGGGGGATATTGTCCTCCATTTGTACGTGTAGAACTTCACTGAGATTAGTATCTCAGTGCTTCCCAATATTGTAATCCAAGGTAGAGTAAGTGGTTAAAACCGATACGATAACCTAGCTACAGTAGTACAATTAGCAAAAATAATAACATCAAGCAAAATTGTGAAATGACAAACTTTGGCAACTATTGATTTTGTACTTCAGACTATAGGAGCAAAGTCTATAGACACATAACAGAATAAATCATGAATTGGGAGTTTCTATGCAGTGTTTTCCCTTGTTAGAGTACACTTACCTTGTGCTCCTCTAACCAGACCCATTGCCAGGTTCCAGGTGCTTCACTTCACGTGGGTGGATGGGCCAGACACCTGTATTCCTCTGGCCAGGCTAGTTACCCAGAGTCCTGAGCATTTCTGCACTGATTGCTGGTCCCCACAGTACAGTAGAATGGTCTGGGTATCTAGACTCCTCCAGCCAAGCTAGTTGCCCAGAGTTCTGAGCACATCAGCACCAGTCCTCACAGTGCAGAGAATCCATTAATTGACTCTTAAGTATTGCATTATTTTTAATGCTATTGAAAAGTTGTGGTTCCCCTATTTCTGAGTTTGCTATCATATACAAGAACACTATTGTTTTGAGTGTTGGCTTTATATCCTACTACATGACCAAATTTAGTTATTAATTCTAGAAGTCTTTTGGGAGAGTTTTTAGGATCTTCTATGTACAGAATGATGTCATCTGCAAATAGTGGTAATTTAACTTCTCCCTTTACTATCTTTATTCCTTTTATTTCTTGTCTAATTGCTCTGGCTAGTGTTTCTAGAATATTAAAATTGCAGATGCCAAGGATTGATGTTCTTACTTTCAAAATATTTGCTCCCTGGAGGTGGAGACATTCTGGTAAAGAAATAAATACATTCTTAAGAAATGAGTTTTACTTTGTGTGTAATACAGAGGAAGCCAATATGCTATGGAAGCATGAGGAGAGATAGTCTTACTCTTCCTTTATAACCTAGCGTTATAAAATGGTAAAATAGTAAGAAAAGAGAAAGCAGAGAAGATAAGGATAGTATTCTGAATGGATTTACACATCACACTTAGGAATCTCAATACAGTATAAGTGTGGTAGCATCACAAGCTTTAAATTACCTGATTTGTGCACGTTAGGAAGTTAGAAATGAAGAAAAATGCAGAGTACTTACAGAATTAATAATGTCAACAATTTAGAGTTATAAAAAGAACCACAATCCTACCTTTTAGCAAAATACAAATTTTCAGCCCATGAAAGTCTAAAAACCACACTACAGGTCTGAGACGAAAAGCAGGTCATGCTTGCTCCCAAATAAATATGCCAGGGTAAGGAAGAAGACAGCACAGACAAGTACTGCAATCTCCATACCTGTAACAAGAGGCCCCATAGGGACACTCTGGTCGCTCATCAGTCTCATCTTGACCCGTGACCCGCACACCTCCGTAGTCACTATCACCAGGGTGGCTAAAGTGCTGAAAATGGACAGGATTCCTTCTATAAGGGCGACAAATATATCGTCAGGAAAAAAAATTAATAGGACATCCTAGAATTTTAGTGAATATAACACTAAACAATACACGATGATGATTGTAGGACATGAACCAACTTGCTGACAACATAAACATAGATGATATTAATATGGCATGTTAGTGATATAAAGTTGATATCTAGTCAGTTCAGGATTCTTATCAAAATAATGAATTTCTGGTGTTACATGACAGGTTAGGACTATCAAAGGATAAATTTCAAACATTTCTTTTCACAGCACATATAGGTATATAATAAGTATATAACATAACTTTCCTAAGTATACAGTCTTTAAAGATTTAATAAATACATCTACTTACTTTTGGCTAGGAGTTTTTAAAAAATATTTCCAACATTATGTGAAGTCCTCATGTCCCGCCACTTTACAATGTAAAGACCACCATCTTGACTTCTAAATGTGTTTTCCAAACTCTTATCTCAGGCCTCTTTGATACTTTTACAAATTACTAAAATTTGAGAGAGCTCTTGTTCATGAAGATTATTTATCTTATTAGAAAGTTTCATGCTATTGTGTCTTTTTTGGGAAGAATCTTTTCCTTTGTGTCTTGTAGTTTGAGTAATTGCTTTGAAGATGATACAGTGTACAAACAATTCCTATCTCTTACTGTTTTGTTATAAAACTTAGTTTTTCATAAAATAAAATAAAAATGAGAAACTACAAAAATATATTTATTTCTTGAAAAATAATTAAATCCTTTTACATGTTACCACAAATAACATGTCGTAACTATCCTCCAAGAAAAATATTTGTGGAGACACATGCCTGATTAAGAAAACATACCTGCCTTCTGCCTTGCTCCTATTGTGAAAAATTGGTTTTACCCAGATGTGTACTTAGGAACTTCCAGCAGTCTCTGGAAGACACTTCCATGAAGTGATATAGAAGATTAGTATCATTTTTTTTTAACTTAACTAGAAATGTTTAATACATACTTTGAGTCTAATTTTTCTATCTGTGTGGTGAATCCCTATTGCTGCATTGTAATAGTACATTTTCCTTACTGTATTACTCCAGTTTATACACCTGTTATAGCTTATCCATTTTGCTCTTAATAAAATTTTGCATTATTTAGGCTGCTAATTTTATAAATGATGCTGCCGCCACCATTCTGGTATAAGTCTTTTTGGTACACACAGATAGACATTTCATGAGGACATGTTAGGAGTGGTTACGGAGTACAAGTATGCTCAGGTTTGATCAGGATTGCCAAATTTACAAAATGATTATTAATTTCATCTCCACTAACAACTATTAGAGTAACAAATATTCAAGAATCTCATCATCATTTAGTATTGCCAGTTTTTTGTTGTGTTTTTGTCATAGTATTTAAAGCACTCCAAACAGCAGACCAAATCTGGCCTGTTGCCTTGTTTAAAAATTGTGGTCAGTAACCCATAACAAAAGTTACCATCTTAACCACTACAAGTGTTCAGTTAACTAGTGTGAAGTATATTTGCATCACATACAGCCAACTGCCCCACTTTTTCCACCTTGCAAAATTGAAATTCAAATCCATTAAAATATAACTTACCATCTCTATTCCTGACCCTGGCAACTGTTATTCTAACTTCTATGAATTGGACTATTCTATTTCATATAAGTGGAATCATAAAGTATTTATCATTTTGGCTAGTTTGCTTGCCACATTATCAAAGTTCTTCCTTAATGAAGCATGTGTCTGAATTTTCACCTATTTGAAGGCTAGATAGAAATTCCCTTCTAAGTGCACATAACATTTTATCCACTTATCACTGAAACACACTTAGGTTCATTCTACTGACTGACCACTGTGAATAGTGCTGCTGTGAACCTGGGTGAGCAGACAGTGCTTTTTGATATTCTGCTTTTATTCTTTTGGATATCCAGCATACTGTATTTTATCATACATTACTTCTCTTTTTAATTTTTTAAGGAAAGTTCTACTGTTATCCACAGTGGCTGCATCATTTTACATTCCCACCAAAGATGCACTGAGAGTTTTACTTCTTCAGATTCATTATGCCCTGCTTGGACTTTTTTTCACAGTAGCAGCCCTAAAAGATGTGAGATGATGTCTCATGTGATTTTCATTTGCCTAATGATAAGCAATGTTAACCAACTTTTTATATGTTCCTGAATGGATGGAGAGAGATAGATAGATAGATAGATAGA